GGGGTGGTGGGAGCTGCTTTGTGCCCAGTGGCCGTGCAGCCCTGGGACAGGGGTGCCACAGAGGGTGTCAGGGACCCTCCTGTCCTGCAGGTCACTCCCGTAGCATCCCCGACTCCTTCCTGAACCACGGCCCCTACGACAGCTATGGTTACGGCTCCTTCGGTGAGTGCCACGTGCTGTGCCCCATCCCTCACCCCTGCCTGTGGGCCGTGCCAGCCCTCTGCCTGTGCTTGTCCTTGCAGGGAACGGCTCCTCCAGCAGCACCGAGGGCGTCACAGACAGCCTGGGCTCAGCAGAAGTCTCCTACAGCTATGTGGGTGAGTCGTGGGGCCGCTGGCGCGGCTGCAGCCCTGCGGAGCCTCGTGCCCGCTGGCATCTGGCTCTGTCCCCTCCATCTCCGGGAAGGGTCCTGGGGCTGCTGGCCCCTCCACGCAGCCCCCAGCGGGGTTTGCATCTGGGACACGCCTCAGGGAGCTCTGCTGCGGTAACTCTGGCTTTCCTTTGAAGGGCAGGAGCAGTTCAAGCGGCGCACGCCCTCCGCCCCGACGAGGCCACTGAGCATTCCCATGGGTAGATGCTGGTACCGGGCAGGGTCGGGCCAATCAGGGCGAAATCTGCCCAGCCCCAGGCTGTGCCCAGGGCACAGAACCCCTGCTCCCCTCCCTCAGAGCAAGGGCAGCACCAGAGGGGCTGCAGAGCAGGACATTGTCCGCCTGGCCCTCGGTGTTCCCCAGCGTGGCAGAGCCCCGGGGAACGGGCACGGGGCAGTGCTTGCCCACCTGGGCATGGGCAGTGCTTGCCCACCTGGGCACGGGGCAGTGCTTCTCCACCTGGGCATGGGCAGTGCTTGCCCCCCTGGGCACAGCCACCACCTGTCCCCAGGGCTGTAGGGAGCTGAAACCTGTCCCCATGTGAGCTGGCAGGGAGGCAGCCCAGTGGTTAATTGGGGCTGATTGGGGTTTTTGGGTGGGCCCCGAGGCTCTGGGCGCTGCTGACGGCCCCGGCTCGGCCGCAGGGGAGCGGTCCCTGGAGAACGTGGCCGGCCGGCCGCGCCTGGACTCGCTCAGCTCTGTGGAGGAGGACGACTACGACACGCTGGCTGACATCGACTATGACAAGAATGTCATCCGCACCAAGGTGCGTGTCCCCCCAGCCCCCAGCGTGTCCCCGCTGGCCAGGCAGGCCCCTGACCCCCCTCTCCTTCCAGCAATACCTGTGCGTGGCCGACCTGGCGCGCAAGGACAAGCGGGTGCTGCGGAAGAAGTACCAGATTTATTTCTGGTGAGTGGGAGGCAATGGGGAGGGGGCACCCGGCAGTGTCCCAGCCCGGGGTGCACGGCAGGGACCCCCTGACGGCCCCACCCTCTCCCAGGAACATCGCCACCATCGCTGTCTTCTACGCCCTCCCCGTCATCCAGCTCGTCATCACCTACCAGACCGTGAGTGTGGCCAGGGCAGCAGCCAGGGGCTCCTGGGAGCTCCGGGGGCTGCACTCCCAAACCCTGCCCCCCAGCATGCTGGGGACACCCCTGGGAGCCCCCTGTGTCCCTCACCCTGCCCTGCCCACAGGTGGTGAATGTCACTGGCAACCAGGACATCTGCTACTACAACTTCTTGTGCGCCCACCCTCTGGGGAACCTCAGGTGGGCTGGGGGGCGGTGGAGGGTGGCTGGGGGTCCCCTGTGCCCAGGGCTGGGCTGCAGCAGGACCCCAGGGAGGGAGGGGGTTCCCAGCACCCACACCGGGACTGGCCCCTTGTAGCGCCTTCAACAACATCCTGAGCAACCTGGGCTACGTGCTGCTGGGCCTGCTCTTCCTGCTGATCATCCTGCAGCGCGAGATCAACTACAACCGCGCGCTGCTGCGCAACGACACCCGCGCCCTGGTGAGGGACGGGGCTGCCGGGGGCTCCGGCTGCCTGCCGGGGCTCAGCTCCCGGGACCCCCCCTTCCCCTCCTTCCCTCCCCTCTGCCCCGCAGGAGTGTGGCATCCCCAAGCACTTCGGGCTCTTCTACGCCATGGGCACCGCCCTCATGATGGAGGGGCTGCTCAGCGCCTGCTACCACGTCTGCCCCAACTACACCAACTTCCAGTTCGGTGAGTGCCCCCCCGGTCCTGCCCGCCCACCCCGGGGCCCCCCACGCCCCTCTGACCGCCGTGCCCCCCCAGACACCTCCTTCATGTACATGATCGCGGGGCTCTGCATGCTGAAGCTCTACCAGAAGCGTCACCCGGACATCAACGCCAGCGCCTACAGCGCCTACGCCTGCCTGGCCCTCGTCATCTTCTTCTCGGTGGTGGGCGTGGTGAGTGCGGCGGGCACCGAGGGAGCGGGGCTGGTTGCCCCCCAGGCTCACTGCCCGCCCCCCGCTCTCCTGCAGGTCTTTGGGAAGGGGAACACGGCCTTCTGGATCGTCTTCTCCGTCATCCACATCGTGGCCACGCTGCTGCTGAGCACCCAGCTGTACTACATGGGGCGCTGGAAGCTGGGTGAGGGGGGGCACCGTCAGCGAGGCGGGAGGGGATGGTGTGGTGGCCCCCCGGTGTCACTCCCCTGTCCCCACAGACTCGGGCATCCTGCGCAGGATCCTGCACGTGCTGTACACGGACTGCGTGCGGCAGTGCAGCGGGCCCATGTACGTGGTGAGTGCTGGCACCGGGGCCCCTGGCTCTGCAGAGACCCTTCCTGGCAGCCCCCCAGAGCAGCTTCCCCTGGCCCTTCACAGCCCCCTCCTCTTTTGCAGGACCGCATGGTGCTCCTGGTCATGGGGAACATCATCAACTGGTCACTGTGAGTGCCGAGCTGGGCACGTGCCAGATCCCACCCTGCTTCTCCCCATCCCTGCTGCCACCCCCACCCCTCTCCTGGCGCTGGGCTGAGGACTGGCAGCTCGTGGCAGCCGTGAGCCCAGCATGACGGGTCTCCCTGCAGCTGTGGCACCCTGGTGTCCCCACGTGCTGCCTGATCTCCCGGGGGCTGCAGACATCCTTTGGGGACAGTGGGCATGTCAGGGGGACCCCCAGGCTGACCCCACTGCCTGTCCCTGCCTCCCCAGCGCTGCCTACGGCCTCATTGTCCGCCCCAATGATTTTGCTTCCTACCTGCTGGCCATCGGCATCTGCAACCTCCTCCTCTACTTCGCCTTCTACATTATCATGAAGGTGGGAGTTGAGTCCTCGGCCCCCGCGGGCACAGCGGGCAGGGCAGGGCAGGACAGGGGTGGGCACTGCTGCCAGCTCCTGCCCACACCGTGACCCCGGCCTCTCCCGCAGCTCCGCAGTGGCGAGCGCATCAAGCTCATCCCCCTGCTCTGCATCATCAGCACCTCCGTGGTCTGGGGCTTCGCCCTCTTCTTCTTCTTCCAGGGGCTCAGCACCTGGCAGGTGAGCGGGAGGGAGGCGCAGGCAGCGGGGTGGGCAGGGTGGCCGTGGGCAGCCACAGTGACGCTGGCCCTGTGCCCGGTAGAAAACACCAGCCGAATCCCGGGAGCACAACCGTGACTGCATCCTGCTCGACTTCTTTGACGACCACGACATCTGGCATTTCCTCTCCTCCATCGCCATGTTCGGCTCCTTCCTGGTAGGTGCTGGTTCCCCCGGCACGGCAGCTGCTGTCCCCAGGTCACCTGTGCCCTGCTGCCCTCACTCCCCTCGCTCCACAGGTGCTGCTGACGCTGGACGATGACCTGGACTGTGTCCAGCGGGACAAGATCTACGTCTTCTAGGAGCCTGCAGCCACCCGCTGCCCTGGGACTGTGCCAAACGCCCGGCTGCAGCCCCGGGAGGGGCACCCACCCCTGGGGAGGGATGTCTGCGCTGCAGGTCCTGCCAGCCACTCTGTCCCCCTCCCCACACAGCCCTGGGGTCCTGGTTTGCCTCCTCCCTGTCGGCCGGGTCCCTCCAGGCACTTCGTGCCCGTCCCTGGGCCCGTCACAGCCAAAAATGGGGCTGGGGGGCCACCAGAGCATCCGTCCTCTGTGGCAAGTGACACTGGAAAGGTGCTGCTGCTGCTGCTCCGTGTCCGTGTGCCCGTGGGCACAGCGGGGGGATTGGGGCCGTGCCGTGCCAGCAGCCCCGTGGCCCCCCGAGCACGTGGGTGTGGGTCTCTCTTCAGTGCCTGAGTCGAGTGGGTGGGAGGTGGGGGTGCGTGGGGCCAGCACGGTGGTGGCAGTGCCAGAGGGGCCCCACTCGTGTCTCCTCCAGCGTCCCAGGAGGGGTGGCCGCGGTGGGCCCCGCCGAGGTGCCGCGCTCCCCACGCGTGGATCTGCTGGGAAGGGACTCGCATTAAAGTGTCTGCACTTTGCCCGTGCCTGCTGCTGTTGCCAGGGCTGCCCCCGCTGCTGCAGGGGCTGGGAAATGCTGCCCTGGAGAGCACATGTGGGGAGGGTGGGGATGGCCTGGGGGTCACAGGGGGGACTGGCAGCCCCACGGGTGGGTAAGGGATGCTCAGGGGGGTCCCACTTCACGGGCAGCAGAGTTCCCTGTGGGCTGGGGCCCCCGTGGCACGCTGGCAGCGCGGTGCCAGAGCTGCTGCGTGCCCGCTGTGCCCTGACCCGCTGCAGCCGTGCCCGCGGGGCAGAGGGAATCCCGGGTCTGCCCAGGCGCGGTGCCCGTGGGATGCCGCCGCCTCGCAGCCGCTCCCGGCCGCCCCGAGCGGACAGCGTGGGTGTCACCCGTGCCCCCGCAGCATCCCCGCGGGGGGACCCTGCCCCGGCTCCGGCGGTGAGCGCACGGGAAAACCAGCCATGAAGTCAGCGGGAGCCCTCGGCGCTGCCGCCTGCCTATAAAAGGATTTACTCCATCAGCCCCCGGCCCGGTTCCGCCCCGGCCCCGGCCCCGCCGGGGCGGAGGCACGCGGGGAATGCTCCAGCACGGGCTGTCGTCGCTGCTTTTCGGAGTCTTTCCCCAAATATGGTGCCTGGGATGGAGTCCCGGAGCGCTGCGGGGCCGGGCGCCCCGGAGGGAGGGTTTGGGGGGGCCGGGCTCCGCGCCCCGCTGACATCAGCGTCCCGCCGCCCTCCTTTTAGCGCCAGGTCGGGGTCCCCGCGGGGCAGAGCGCCGCTGCCCAGCCCAGCATCGCCCTCGCTCCGTCCGCAGCCGCTTGTGAGTCCTGCCGCGGGGGGGGCGGCGGGGAGGGTCCCCGGGGTGCGACCGCCAGCCCCCGGCACGGGGGTGCTGCTCCCCGCCATGGGGATTCTGCTCCTCCGGGTGGGATGCGGCTCCCCGGGATGGGGATGCGGCTCCCCGGGATGGAGATTCTGCTCCTCCGGGTGGGATGCGGCTCCCCGGGATGGGGATGCGGCTCCCCGGGATGGAGATTCTGTTCCTCCGGGTGGGATGCGGCTCCCTGGATGGGGATGCGGCTCCCCGGGATGGGGATGCAGCTCCCCGGGATGGGGATTCTGCTCCTCCGGGTGGGATGCGGCTCCCCGGGATGGGGATGCGGCTCCCCGGGATGGGGATTCTGCTCCTCCGGGTGGGATGCGGCTCCCCGGGATGGGGATGCAGCTCCCCGGAGGAGGGTCGGGCTCCTGGGGTCACTGCCGGGGTTCTGTGCTGTTCCTCCGCTCAGCCGGAGGGGCCGTGCGGGGCTCAGGGCAGGATGGAGGGGCAGCTCCAGCCCCCAGCGCCCGTTTCTGCCCGTTTCTGCCGGGACGGGAGATGGGCACGGGGCTGGCGGTCCAGGGACTGGCAGTGCCATGAGGCCCGGGATGCCGTGTGTGACCCCTCAGAGCCAGGTCGGGCCGGGGCACGGAGCGGGATCGGCTGGGCACATCACGGGATGTTCCCAGTGCTGCTCGGGGCTGGGCACAGGCTGCCCGTGGGGCTCGTGGGGTATCAGCACACATATCACGGGGCTGTGGGGCATAGCTGGCAGCAAGAGGGGTCGGTGCCCTCTCCTGCACTGAGCTGTGCCAGGTCTCAGCCCAGCCTGCGGGAGCTGCGGTGCCCAGTGGCCAGGATGAGCCCACTGGAAGCCGGGTGTGATGAGGGGCATCCACACGGCTCCTGGAGGCACCCGCAGGCTTCATGCCAAGCAAGGAGCCAGGCAGGGAGGAGCGATGCCAGCCCCACCAAAGGCTTGGCTGCCACTCCCAGAGCCTCTCCTTGCTGGCACCTTCCCTGGCATCCTCTCTGGCACCCTCGGGCCTGCCTGCAGCCGGCTACCTGCCATCGCTGCCCGCAGCATGTCCTTACAAGGGCACGGGCACAGCTCCCGCTGCTCCCGCCTCACCCGCTCCTCCTCAGCTCCCGGACCTGCCGTGCCAAGGCCATCCCACGGGCACCCTGCCGTGCCAAGGCCATCCCACGGACACCCTGCCGTGCCAAGGCCGTCCCACGGGCACCCTGCTGTGCCATGGCCACCCTACCAGCCAGCCTCGACGTGGTCACCCTGCCACCCTGGCGTGGGCCACACCAGGGACATCCATGCCAGCCAAGAGCTGGCAAGGGACAGGGATGGGGCTGCTCCTGCGCACAGTCTGGGCTGGGGATGAGGCACCTCTGCCAGGACACATGCCGTCTGTCTGGGCAGATTTTGGAGGTCCTGGTGGTGAATTTTCCTCCAAACACACCCGGATGGAGCTGAAGGGCTGTTACCTGGCGAGGGAAGAGTCGGAAGGGCTCGTCCCCACTGCAGCAGAGTGGCAGGGAAATGACACGATGGTGTCTGTGGGGTCCCTGCACAGGGGACAGCATCTCCCCGGCCTGACTGTCCCTGTGGTGCCACCAGGTCTCCCAGTGCCGCAGCCATGGCAAACAAAGGGCCAGCCTATGGCATGAGCAGGGACGTGCAGTCCAAGATCGAGAAGAAGTACGATGACGAGCTGGAGGAGCGGCTGGTGGAGTGGATCGTGGCGCAGTGCGGGGCTGCCGTGGGACGCCCTGAGCGGGGCCGCCTGGGCTTCCAGGTCTGGCTGAAGAACGGCATCGTAAGTGGGGCACGGCGGTGGGGAGCTCCGGGGGCAGCACGGGGGGTTCTGAGGGCATCACGGGGAGCTCTGAGGGCAGCACAGAGCGCACCGAGGGCAGCACAGGGAACTCTGAGGGCAGCTTGGGGAACTCCGAGGGCAGCACAGAGAGCTCCGAGGGCAGCACAGGTTACTTGAGGGCAGCACGGGGAGCTCCGAGGGCAGCGCAGCAAGCCCAGGCTCCCCTCTGCGGCAGGTGCTCAGCAGGCTGGTGAACAGCCTCTACCCCGACGGCTCCAAGCCCGTCAAGATCCCCGACGCGCCGCCCACCATGGTGTTCAAGCAGATGGAACAGATTGCCCAGTTCCTGAAGGCGGCCGAGGACTACGGGGTGGTCAAGACAGACATATTCCAGACCGTGGACCTGTTTGAAGGTGCGGCAGGGGGGCAGTCGGGGTTGGGGGTCCCGGGGTCGCGGCGCCGTGCCCGTCCTCACGCCCCTCTCTCTCTCCCCGGGCAGCCAAGGACATGGCAGCGGTGCAGAGGACGCTGATGGCCCTGGGGAGCCTGGCAGTGACCAAGAACGACGGGAACTACCACGGTGACCCCAACTGGTTCATGAAGTGAGTGGGGGAGCGCAGAGCTGGGCGTGGGGACCCCCTTGTCCTGCGGCTGCTCTGAGCCGGCTCCTTGCTGTGCTGGAAGCGCCCCTGAGCACACGGAATTGGGATGCCCAACTTCCAGCTGGGGAGGGAGGGAGGGTGGCTGGGACATTCCTGGGGATCGGGGGGTGCTCCTGGGCAGCCGGGGGTGCGGGTGCCCCACAGCCTGTCCCTGTGCCCCGCAGGAAAGCGCAGGAGCACAAGCGGGAGTTCACCGAGAGCCAGCTGAAGGAGGGCAAGAACATCATCGGGCTACAGATGGGCACCAACAAGGGCGCGTCACAGGCGGGGATGAGCTACGGCCGGCCCCGGCAGATCATCAGCTAGGCACCGCCGCCAGCCCTCCCCAGCCGGGACCTCGGTCCGCGCTCCCCGGCCCAGCGCCGCCGCCCATCCTTCGGTATTTATTGAGGAGCATCCGCCCGCCAGCGCACGCCCGCAGCGCCGTGCCCCGGGCAGCCCCTGCCCCCGGGCAGCCCCTGCCCCGGCCTCGCACCCCCTTCGCCAGCCGGTCCTGCCCCCGCCGGCACCCCCGGGCGGGACCCCGGCCCCGGGACACCGGCCCGCCCGCCGCCCGCACCGCCCCGCCGCCGCCGCAGAGATCCCTGCCTCGGGGAGGAGAGGGAACCCAATGGGCCTCGGTTTTGTACTTGGTTTTTGTCAAAATTAAAAGGTTATATTCATCTAGCGTGGCCTGACGAGGTTCGCTCCCGCCTGCCCCGTTGCAGCTGGGCGATGGAAAGCCAAAGTGCTTCTCCCTAAAAGGGAGCTGCTGCTGCTTCTGCCACTGCCAAACCTGGGAAAGCCAAAGCTGGAGCTTGATTTTCCCGGCCTGGCTTGGCAAACCCTGCCCTCTCCCCCCTGAACTGTGACAGCCACTGCTGTCCTTGCTCCTCGCAGTGCTCTGGCCCAGCCCCTGCCTCCCGCTGCCTGGAGCAGCCCCTGTTACCCCAAGGCACAGTAAGTGTACCCCAAGGCACACTTACAGCTACTTACACTTGTACTTAGATTTGTCAGAAAGTATAGAAAGAACTTCTGCGTCACTCTGCTCTGTTTGTTTCAAGGTTCGAGAAGTCTTTCTTATCTCTTATTTTTTAGTGTGGAAATCTGTATTCTTTCTCTTTAGCTGGGGTAGTTTTGCTAGTGCTGCAGTACTAGACTAAAGAGCATATTTCACTTATGTTAGTAAGCTTGAAGTGGCACATTTCATTTAAATCTAAATGGATTTCTACCCTGTAGAATTTTCACTCTGTCTGAAGGGCACACAGCCCCTCCAGATGCAGCACCCAGCGCTGGGTCCCCCTGCCCCGGGGCTGGGAGCTGCTGTGTGACACATTTTTCCACAGTGAGGAATCTTTGGGAGGGCAGAAGAGTGATGGATGGGGGAGAGGAGGGTTTTTCAGGCTTTATTTGGAAAGCTACACAAAAGGGCTTTGCTGATTAAAAAACAAACCCCAGCTTTAAAAAAATAAAACCACCGAACCCAAAGACATGTGAACAAGCCAGCCCTGCTCAGAGGAGCCACTGCCAGAGCAACTCAGCCTCCCCATCCCAGCTACCAGAGGTGCTCCTGTGCCCAGGGACAGCCCCATCCTGCCCCAGACAGGCTGGATCCTGCCTCCCCCACCCCACAGCTGCTCTGTGCCCACAGGAGAGGAGGAATCTGCAGGATGGGAGCACGGGGGCAGGGAGAAGCGCTGGTTGGAGATGAGTGAAATAACTCCCTGCTTCTAAACTGGGATAACTGGTGGGTAGGGGCCGGCTGCCAGCCTGGGAAATGCCAGTGCTGCGGGGTCCCTGCCTGCAGAGGCGGCTGCTGGGGCCTCGCTGCGTTTTCCAGGCTCGCTCTGCAGGAATTGGGGACAAAGGGACACTCTGGGCCCCGCTGCAGCGGCACGAAGGGGCTCGGTGGGAATGGCACTCCACTCACAGCGGCGCAGGCTCCAGCAGGAAAGGGTTTAAGGCTTGCTTTGTTGTCCAGGAGGAGGGAAGGGAAGCTCCCTCTGCAGTACCAGCCCTCTCTCCTTGTTTCCAGCACCTCCCGCAGGACACAGTGGCAATGGTCCGTGGGGCTCAGCAGCGAGCCAGGGGTCGTACCGAGGCAGGGCCCTGTCAGCAGGGCTGGTGCTCCCTGTCCTCCCCGAGCAGTTCAGTCGATGCCTCCCGGCCCAGGAATCCCATTCCAGTGGGGGCTGCCTCATGGACGCTCACAGCTCTGCCATTGCTGGAAAGTTTGGGGTGGGTGGGGGTCCAGGACCCCTCCTCCCCATCCTGGGCAGCCTCCAGGTGCTCACACTCCATCTCGGCCTCCTCCACGTCCTTCTCCTGGTACAGAGGCACCGACTCCATCTCCACGTCGCGCTCCAGGGCTCGGTGCTTCCCTCCCTGCTGGTGCCACCTGCAGCTGGTGGAGCTGGAGCAGCCCAGGTCCAGCCCCGCCTCGTTCCTCGTCAGGCAAACCTCCAGCATGTAGTAGAAAGTCCAGAACACGGCAAAGCATCCCAAGAGCAGGAGGGTCTGCAGAGGAAAACCCCTTGAGAAACAAAGCTCTCAACCCCCTCAGGGCCCTGCCCGCTGCCCAGCAGAGAGGGCACAGAGTGCTGAGCGGGGTCCTGCTCTCCCAGCTCATCCTGGGGGATGCAGGGCTCCCAGCCTGCAGGCAGGCTCACCTTGAGGGTGTTGGCTGTGATGGTGTAACGCTGCTCCTCGGGGATGTCCAGCCCTGGGGGACAGGGCAGGGAGAAGTCCCCGCTCAGGTACTGCCCACTCATGGCTTCCTCCAGCAGCCTGGGGATGGAGACACCCCGTGAGGCTCCCGTGAGGCTCCCGTGGGGCTCCAAAATGCCCACAAAGGGTCCGGGGTGTCTCCTTCAGCACACAGAGCTGCCCTGTGAGGTGTGAGGGCAGCCCCAGCCTCACCTGGCTCCAACCCAGTGCCCACAGCAGGGACGGAGCCCTCAGCCTCCCTCTCCTGGCCAGATGTGGGGCCCTACCTCTGCCGCTCCTTCATCTCTGCTGCGGACCAGGAGGAGCCGTACAGGGTCAGCTGCCACTGCTGCAGGGTGCCAGGCCTCAGGCTGTCGTCCCCTGGGGAGGAACCAGGCTGGTCGGGTGGGGAAGCCTCTGAGCCAAGCAGGGTCTGAGCCGGCAGCTCCCCGGGACACGGCATGGAGCTGCCAGCACTGCTGAGGCCCTGAAGGCAGGACTCACCGATGTCCCTGATGAGCAGCCTGTAGGTGCCCTGCGCCTGCTCGCCCCAGCAGCGCACCGTGGAGAAGGTCCAGTCAGAAAAGCCATTGGGGTCCCTGCCAAGGGGAGAGGGGAGACAGCCCCTGAGGGGTCACAGAGCCCCTGAGGGGTCACAGAGCCGCCGGGCTGGCCCCGGTGCCCCCCGTGTGCCCTCGGTGCTCACGAGTCCATGCTGCGCGTGGTGCCGATCAGGGACATCATCCCGCTGGGGCAGAAGAGCCGGATCTCCAGGTTGCCACGGCGAGGGTGGGTGATGGTGACCGTGACAGCCACGTGCTCCAGGGTCCTCATGCCAGACAGCTCCAGGTCGGCGGGGGTGACTGGGAAAGGGAAGGGGGGTTTTGGCCAAGGCTGGTGGCTTTGGGATGGAGTCCCCACTCCCAGCCAGCCCCACGGGGCTGTGGTGCCACTTCACAGGACACACACATTGTCTCTGCCTCTTCCCAGCTGCCCTGTGTGGGTCTGGGACAGTGCCCAGGCTGCTCCAGCCCATCTCCAGCGGCTCCCAGCTCCAGGAACGCTCCCAGGAGCACAGCCCCTCTGCAGCGGGGCGAGCGGGTGGGTGGGCGCTCCCAGCCCCTGCTCGGGGGACGTGGGCACATGCCAGGACAGCAGTGTCCCCTGTGTGCAGGCGTGCTGGGGCCGGGCAGGGCTGGGCCCAGCTCCCCTTGCTGCTGGTAGCCCCGAGCAGCCGCTGGTAGCCCAGAGCAGCCGCTGGTAGCCCACAGCAGCCGCTGGTAGCCCCAAACAGCCGCTGGAACCCCGAGCAGCTGCTGGTAGCCCCGAGCAGCCGCCGGTAGCCCCGAGCAGCCGCCGGTAGCCTGGAGTAGCTGCTGGTAGCCCCGAGCAGCTGCTGGTAGCCCCGAGCAGCTCCGCAGGGCCCGGCCAAGTCGGGAGCTGCAGCATTGCCTAAAATGGTCAAAGCCAGGCGAGCAGCTCTGGCCGCTGCCCAGCCCAGCCCCGCTGCTGAGCCCAGTCTGGCTCCCCGACAGCATCAGTGCAGGGGATGGGCTGTGGGGAGGGGATCCCCTGGGGATGGGCAGTGGAAAAAGCCCAGGCAGCCCAGCACTTAACCCCTGGCTGGCCCGGCACGCCGGCGGGCAGGGCTGGCTCTCTCTCCGTGGCTCTTACCATTCCAGGCCACCTGCAGCTCCTGCGGGAGCCACGGGATGCTCCTGCCCTCCTTCAGCACGGGGCTCACGTAGGAGGCCAGGTACGGCACGGACTCCCAGATCTGCCAGGGCAAGGAGAGAGGGCTCAGCACGGATTGCGCCCTCCCTGCACAGCCATCCCTCCCTCTCCCACAGCTCTCACAGGCTGCTCCTGGGCTGGGTGTGGGCCAGGCCAAGGGGCCTCTTCTGATGATGCTCTGGGACACGCAGGCTGCTGTGACACCCCAGGGATGGGAGCAGTGCCCACATGCCCAGGAAAGGAGGGAAAGTCACTGCCTGGGAGCCAGAAGGGCTGATCAAGGTTTGGGACTCCCCAGCTCAGGGTTTGTCACAGTGGCTTTGCGTGGTGTCCTGAGGCTGTTCTGCTCCAAGCCCTGGTACAGGGGACAGGGAACAGCAGAACCCAAGTGCCTGCAGGAAGAGGGAGCAGCCTGGAGGTCCCTGTGACCCTGAGGGCACGGCTGGCAGCGGCAGTGACCCGGCACAGCACACAGCTGGGACCAAGTGCCAAAGGGCAGAAGAGGAAGGGATGGGGATGCCTCTGCCTGCTGTGAGCACACCACTCCCGGAGCGGGCAGTGAGAACAGCCTGGTCTGGGGGGCAGGACACCCTCCCTGCAGCACCGTGCAGGGAGGAAGGTGCTGCTGACCAAGCTCCCGTCGCCGTGGGTCGGGCCCTCGCCATGGCTATATATAGTGCTGGGGAGCAGCAGCAGCTCGGGACGGCTCTCGGGAGCCTCGTGACCTCACAGCAAAAGCAGCCTCAGCGCCAGGGCCAGCAGGATGGTGGCCAAAGTGCTGAATGGCAGCGGTGTCGCCCCGCGGTGTCACCGGGACAGGAGCTGTCCCTGCCACGGGGCTGGGCTGGGCTGGGCTGCTCTGCTGCCCACGGGCAGGTGTGGGAGGGCAGGGAGTTACCTTGGCAGCGTTCACCAGCCTCCAGGCGTTGAGCAGGCCGAAGCCATGCTGGTGGCTGTGGCTGAAGCCAGCCTGGTTCGTGTCCCACTTGGCGTGACGGTCCTCGTACTGCAAAGACACACAGGGTGCTCTGCTCACCTGGGAGCAGCCTGAACCCCAAGGCCTGAAGGGAAGCAGGCCCAGACACATCCCACAGGGCTGGGGAAGCAAACCCACATGGCCTTATTAGAAAGGAACAGGTTGATCTTTGTTTGAAACAAATCCCAGGACAAAGCGGCTTCCCAGCTCCTCAGAAAGGAAATGGAGCAGCACGAAAGGGCACAAATGCCTCTGCTCTGAAACATCCCAG